TCAACAGTGGATGTGAAGCAGGCCAGTGGATTGATTGCCAATTATATCAGGTAGCCTTACTGCTAATCACTGTCAATAAAGTCACTTCATTCTCTGAGGAGAACAGTGAGAATGTATATAAGGAACTGGAATCCTAGTCAGTATTGGTAAGTTTTAATGTTGCAGTATCTAATCAAACCCTGAGTATACTGGTTCTGTGAACGACCTGAAAAGCAAATTTAAAAAATTGAACTGCAAAACAAAAAAAAAAATCAGTAGCCCTACTATATACAGATGATGAATGCTCTGAGAAAGAAGTCAGAGAAATTTACAATATGCATAAACAACATAAAATATCTTGGGGTAATGCTAACCAAAAATGTGAAAAACATGTATAGTAAGAACTTTGAGTCTTTAAAGAAAGAAATTAAAGTAGATACCAGAAAATGGAAAGATTTCCCATGCTCATGGATAGGTAGGATCCACATAGTAAAAAGGAAAATCTTGCCAAAAGCAATCTTCAGTGCAATTCCCATCAAAAATCCCAACACAATTATTCACAGACCTTGATAGAACAGTACTCTACTTTATATGGAAAAACAAAAAACCAAGGATAACCAAAACAACACTGTACAATAAAGGAACTTCCAGAGGCATCACAATTCCTGACTTCAAGCTCTGTTATAGAGCCATAGTCCTGAAAACAGCTTGTTATTGACACAAAATAGACAGAAAGACCAATGGAATCTAATTAAAAACCCTGATATTAACACACACACACACACACACACACACATATGAACACCTGATTTTTGACAATGAAGCTAAAAAGTTAAACAATGGAAAACAGAAAGCATCTTCAACAAACATTGTTGGCATAACTGGATTCAGACATGTAGAAGATTGCAGTTAGATCCATAGCTATCACCATGCACAAAATTAAATCTAAATGGCTCAAAGACCTCAACAGAAATTCAGACACACTGAACCTATTAGAAGACAAAGTGGAAATACCCTTGAATTAATTGATACAGGATACTGCTTTCTGAACATAACACCAGTAGCACAAACTTTGAGATCAACAATTAATAAATGGGACCTCCTGAACCTGAGAAACTTCTGTAGGGGAAAGGACACAATCATCAAGACAAAATGCCAGCCCACAGAATGGGAAAATATATTCATCAACCCCACATCTGACAGAGGGCTGATCTCCAAAATATACAATGAACTTAAGAATCTAGCCACCAAAATACCAAACAATGCAATTAAAAGTGCAGAACTAAATAGAGAATTCTCAATAGAGGAATCCAAAATGGCTGAAAGACACTTGAGAAAGTGCTCAACATCCTTAGCCCTCAGGGAAATGCAACTCAAATCCACTCTGAGATACCATCTTACTCCTGTCAGAATGGCTAAAATCAATAACACCAATGACAATCTATGCTGGAGAGGATGTGGAGAAAGAGGAACTCTCCTCCATTGCTGGTGGAAGTACAAACTTGTACAACCACTTTGGAAATCAGTATGGCGGTTTCTTAGGATCAATCTATATCAAGATACAGCAATTCCTCTCTTGGACATTTATCCAAAGAATGAAAACTCATACAGTAAGGACATATATTTAACTATGTTCATAGCAGCATTATTTGTGATAGCCAGGACATGGAAGCAACCTAGATGGTCCTCAACTGAAGAATAGATAGAGAAAATGTGGTACATTTACACAATGGAGTACTGCTCAGCAGAAAAAACAATGGAATCTTGAAATTCTCAGGCAAATGGATGGAACTAGAAGAAACCATCCTTAGTGAGGTAACCCAATCACAAAAAGATAAACATGGTATGTACTGACTCATTTTTGATATTTAGACATAAAGTAAAGAATTACCAATCCACAATCCACACTGCCAGAGGAGATAGGAAACATGGAGGACCCCAAGAGAAGACTGCATAGTCCCTTGAAGAAGGGGAGGCAAACAAGAACCCCTGACCAAAGTGGGAGCCCCAGGGTGGGGAGAGGAAGTAGGTAGGAAGGGAAGAAGGGGAGGGAGAGGAGAACAAGAGGACTGAGACAGGGGAGGAATAGAGGAGGGCAAGAAAGGAGATGCCTTGATACGGGGAGACAGTACAGGTATGGAGAGAGGTCTGGCGCAGGGAAAATGTTAGGGGATTCATAGTGATGATCCCAACTAAGAAGCCAGGCAGTAGTGGAGAGGATGCCATTGAGGCCCTTCCCCTATAAATGAGATTGATGCCTACCTTGGTTACCATTCCTAGAGCTTTCAACCAGTAGCTGTTCAAAGCAGAAACAGGCACCCACAGCTAAGCACTGAACTATACTACTTGAATCCAGTTGTGGAGAGGGAGGAGGGATGAGCAAAGGAGCCAAGACGGGGCTGGAGAAACCCTCAGAAACAGTGGCCCTGAACTAGTGAGAGCATGGAGACCCAATCATAAAGCTACAGAAACAGCATTGGACTGAACCAAGCCCTCTGAATGTGGGTGCCAGCTAGGAGGCCAATACAGTCTATGGGACCTCTAACAGTGGAGCCAGTCTTTGACCCTAGAGCACATTTGACCCTAGAGCACATTGGGAGCCCATTCCCTATGGAGGAATACTATTGCAGCCCAGATACAGAAAGTAGGGCCTAGACCATCTCCCACATGATATGACAGACATTGAAAGTCCCCTGTGGAGGGCCTTACTATTCCTGGGGAGGAGTTGGGGGGTAAATGGGGAGGTTTGTGGGGAACATGGGATGATGGGACAGAAAATGGGGGATGGATATGTAAATATGAGTAGTAACTAAAGAATAAAGAAAAAAGAAAAGAAAAAAGTAAAAATACAAAATCATCAGGTTAGGTGGTAAAAAACAAAAAAAGTCTACAACAAAATCCAAAACCCCTTCATGATAAAATTTTTGGAGAAGTCATGGATACAAGGAACATCACTAAACATGGTGAAGGCAATTTGCAACAAGCCAAAAGCCAGCATAAAATTAAATTTACAGAAACTAAAAGCAATTCCACTAAAAGCAGGAACAAGTGTGTCTACTCTCTCCATTATATATTCAATATGATTACTGAAATTCTAGCAGGAGCAATAAGAGAATTGAAGGATATCAAAAGAATACACATTGAAAAGGAAGAAGTCAAAGTATAATTATTTACACATTATATAATAGTATTCATAATCAATCCCCAAAATTCTAGCAGAGACCTCCTACAGATGATAAACACCTGTAGTGAAGTGACTAGATACAAGATTAACAACAACAATAACAGCAAAACAATAGCTCTCCTATACACAAATGACAATCAGACTAAAAGAGAAATCAACACACTTCACAACAGCTACAAATAATATAAATAATAGCTACAAATAATCTTGGGGTAACTCTAACTAAGGAATTGAAAGACTTGTATAACAAAACCTTCAAGTCTTTGAAGAAAGAAAATGAAGAAGGTATCAGAAGATGGAAAGATCTCCCATGTTCATGGACTGGTAGGATTAACATAGTAAAAATGGCCATCCTCCCAAGAGCAATCTACAGATTCAATGCAATCCTCAGCAAAATTTCAACACAATTGTTTGAAGACTTTAGAAAGACAATACTCAACTTCATGTGGAAAAAAATCCAGTATAGCTAAAACAATAGGGCATGATAAAAGAACATCCAGAGGTATCACCATCCCCAATTTCTAGATGTACTAAAGAGCTATAGTAATAATAAACACATAGTATTGGCATAAGAGCAGAAAGGTTGATCAATGGAATTGAAACAGATACACATACATAAATACACATACACATAGACACCTGATTTTTGATAGATGCCAGAGATATACACTGGAGGAGAGATTACTGGAATTAGGGAGGCATTTTGGGAGTGATGTAGAAACCTAGTGTAGTGGAAACTCCCTGGAATCTATGAGAGTGACCCTAGCAAAGTCTCCTAGTAATTCAGGATATGGAGCCAGAACTGGCTGTCTTCTATACCAAGGCTAAGCTCCTAACAGTGGGACAGGGACACATAACCAGCCACAAAACCTTCAACCAGAAATGTACAGGGGCAATGAAGGAGCAGAACTTGTGGGAGTGGCTGACACATAACTAGTCCAAATTAAGGCCCATGCCACAAGAGTGAGTTCACTCCTGACACTGCCTAGATGGCCAGGAGCCATAGACATGATATCCCAGAACCCTAGGGTAGAAGCAAACATACTGACAAAATAAAGAAAAAGAAAGAGGGAGGGAGGGAGGAAGGAAGGAAGGGAGGAAGGGTGCCTCCCTTCTTGTTCACTCTCAGCTTCCAAACTGACAGTAGAGTGTCATCAGCCAGCCCCCCACTCCTGCTACCATGCCTACACCACCATGGTGGGATAGATCCCTTCAACCTCCAAGCCAGAAGAAACCTACTTGATTTCTTTATGCCCTGTGACTCAAGTATGTGGTCTCTTCATCAATAGAGTTTTAGCATCACATTATAGAGAGTGATCAAGCACATTGCTAATAGCCTGTAGTGCTCAGGGTATGGAAGCCTATAGAACCCCACTGACCAACAATTTCTATTATTTACAAGAAATGTGGACCAGTTACCATGGGAAGGGAAAGGCTGATATTCTTGTGTTTCAGTTATATACTCTTAAAACCCAAGAAGAAACTACATCATGTTGCTACCTATGTAGGAGTTGGTCCGTAAAAGAGGGAAGAGTAATTATTTGGCTACAAGTAGACCTAAAAGGATGGGATGGGAGAGGTTGGTATGAGTGTAATTGGGACAGAAGCCAAGAAGCATCTTAGTGGGCATCTGAATTCAAACATCTCTGGTGACTTGTTCCCAGTATATGTACAGGAAGTCACAAGGTCTGATCAACATTTTTATAAGCTTCACCTGGACCAGAAACACTTACTCAGCTGCTGAAGGCAAATCCCAACTCAAGGAAGCAGACTCTATAATCAGTCTGTGAAAGGGTCTTCTTCACCCTTGGACAATTCTCCACCTCTATACCAGAGAATGGAAGAAAGGTAAGAATATATTCCTAGAATGTCCAGAGATGTACTGTCTTGGAGTTTTCTCTATATCCACATTCCTGTGTTGCTATCACAAAATGCAACATGACAGGTCTAGATCTTTTTCATGGGAAGGCATGAGACAGAAGCATCCTTTTGAAACAGATACTCTGACTTGAGCAGACTTTTCTTACTTTCCCCAAATCATTTGTATTCATGTCTGTTATTTAAGGAGGAAGTTAATGTGCATATTTTTCCCAGGGAAGAAACCCTGTTTGTTGGTTCTTACAGCTGATCTGCAATGTATGTATGTTGCTTCCAAAGAGAGTCAGAGTCTTAGAATTTGAACAGCTGAGGAATACCACAAGAAGTGCTTATTTACAAAGACCACATGACTTAGAACCAGAGGAAGTTCCTGGGGAAACAAGATAAAGTAAGACAGTGAAAGACATTGTCTACTCCTTGCCTCCAATAATCAGCAGAAGGGGTGTGTGTGTGTGTGTGTGTGTGTGTGTGTGTGTGTGTGTGTGTGTGTGTGTGTGAGAGAGAGAGGGAGAAAGAGAGAGAAAAAAGGTATAACTAGATGCATGGAGGAGCACTGCTGTTCCCAACACACAGTTGACCAGGAGAGAGATTATAAATAAAAATCCCAGCCTCTTTCCTGCTGCTCTCCATCGTCCTTGAAATGTCATCAACTGTTCAAATACAAAGAAACTTGGAGAAAGGGACAGCTCTGAGGAGTGAGATAAGCACTTCTGTAAGATGTCAGGGGGCAGAGAGAAAGACAGAAGAATAAACTTCCTCACTTGCAAGTCTTCTACCTTGAGACTTCTAGATTTAACTGTCATCAGATAATTTCTCCCCTCATCTCCGTCAGAGTGATGTTTGTCTTGTTTTCATTTTATCTTCTAATACTGCTTTTTTTGGAGGAATAACCCATATTAACCAAAAATAATATGAAGATAGACTGAAATTCATGCAGGGAAATATTTCTTATTGGCTATAGTACTAGAGCATCTACTCAAATACAGAAAAATAGAATAGAATACTCAAATACAGAAAAATAGAACAACAAGAAAGTTGTTAAGTATGGGTTGGCAGCAGCACCAAGTCAGACACAAGAACTGCAGTATTGGCTGGTCCTCAGACCTAAAGATACAAAAGCATGCTGTTTATGGTCAAGGACTCTCAGCACATCAACATGTCAGTGTAGGGAAGACACACAGAGGAGTGGGAGGGCTGGTCCTTGCAGTTACCCACCTGTTGAATCATCAGCTTCCAATCATGCTTTTGTCATTGGGATTAAGAGAAAATGTGAACTTGGATCCACTTTAATTTAAAATAGAATAATTAGTTAAGAGAGAGATTAGCATCTTAAACTTTCTGGGTTGTGGAGAAAAATCATGAACTTCTGATCTTCCTGCTCCCACCTACTGAGCAGTAGGATTGCAGGCTAACACTACCATCTCCACTTTTATGCTGACTGTAGCTGATGTCAGCTCCATTCCCAGCCCCATTTGATTGCTTCTTTCCTGCTGTTTCACAAATTGTTAGCTTGAGTTTTCCTTCATCCATAATTGTGACTGCCATCTTGTTTGTATTGTGGGAAAGACTCCTGTGCTTTTCCATTATTCACTTCTAATAGACATGCAGTGTTGTAGTGTACACAAGTTTGTCAAAGGTTGATCCTGTCCAGGGTAGATAGCTTAGTTTGTAAGGTAATTATGATGCAAGCATAAGAACTAGCCATTAGAACAATCCAGGCCTGGCAAGGCATATCCACCACTCCAGTGCTGGTGATGCGGAGACCAAAGGATGCCTGGGGTTTGCTGGCCTATGGTTGAGTCTGTGAGCTTCATGGTCAGTGAGAAACCCTTTCTCAAAAAGCAAGGTAGTGATCTATTGAAGAAAAACTTGACATCAGCTTGTAACTTCTTCAAACACATTCATGCATGTACACACACACACACACACACACACACACACACACACACACACACACACACACACACACACACACACACACTATACTGGTCCAGCACCATTTATTTTGGATTGGAATTCACACTGTCAGAGTCAGGTATAATCAATCACTCATCATTTTATGCTACAACTCCATCCTCAGAAAATCAGAAAAAATAGTCCTCCTTTCGCCACAGACTCCAGGGGTGGGATTGAAGTGACAATATAGGTGAGTTTTTAAAGAACTGAGGCATGTGGTCCACATATGAGCTTATCCTGTTCCTCTGGTTGCAACTGCATACCATTCGCTATTTGTATTTCAAGTGGTGCACCTTCTCACCTTGTCCTCAGACAGACAACACAGACAGATTTTGTTATCAGAGAAAACTCCCTGTCTTCCAGAAGAGACCATGGAGTATGCTCTCATTATGTTAGATTTGTCCTCATTTATTGCACTCCACTTAGCAGTCCTCCATTAGAAATCCCCGCACTTCTCTGCAGCAAACTTGGAATTCACCTTCACTTCCTTCCTCCTTGCTCTGCCGATCAGTCATCTCAGATGCACATCCCATGGTCATTCTGCACACCTAAGTGCTCCTCAGTACTTAACCATGCAGTATTGGGTCCTTACATCAAAGATACCTTAATGGTCAACATCAGGTACTTGGTATGCATCAATAATTCTGAATATAATCAGAACTGCTTGCATACATTCAGGGCAATTGAGGATTTCTTTATCATATTTTCTATCCCTGTACAGTTTTTATTTTCTATATAATCCATCATCTATTAGTATAAAGATCTGTATGAATGTATTCCTTCTGAAAGTAATAATAATATCAAGGCCTCATGGATATGAAAATATTTGCACATCACACAAACTAAACATAAGGTTGTAGAGGGGTTTCTAACTTCAATGTCTGTTGCCATGGGATGTTTCTAGGCTTTAAAGTTTTTGAAGTAAAGAATTCCATTTCCTGATAAAGGGAGGGAGTTTTAGTTTAGATCTTTTATTTCTCATGACTTATTGCTTTTACTAAGATTTTGAGTGCAATATTGAATAGAAAATGGATAAGGGAATGAAAGTCTCATTTTTATTTAAAAATTACTTTCATTTTCCCAAGGTAAGTAAGCTGTAATATATTTCCTTCATTGTGTTATCTTATCATGTTCCTATGTTTCTTCAGAATTTTTTATCCTGAGGAGACAGTCAATTTTGTCAATATTATTTTCTGAATAATGACTTTTAGAGGTTGACTTTATTATATGCAGTTTTACATTCATGATTTTTTTCATGTGTGTGGAACCATCTTTGTGTTTTTAAAGGAAATCAACTTTATGACTATGTACAATGTTTGTCTCCTCCTAATTATTACTGCTGTTGTTATTTTATTAGTTTCATATATGTAAACAATTTGTTGTGATCACATTTATCCCCTATTAATCTTCTCATCCAAATCCATCTCCTGTTGACCTCCTTATTAATCTCAACTTTTCTTTTCTTCTGGATCCTTTTTAAAATGAACTACTTGTTCAATCTTAAAGATTTTATATGTCTGCTATTGTTTTTGTTTGTTTGCTTGTTCATTTTTACTTTTATTCCATTGTGATACCATAAGATATAAAACTTGTAATTTGTTTTGCATTTGTTAATACTGTTGTATTAGAGTTTCCATTTTCTTCCTTGCTGCTTAGACAAAACACCATGATCAAGCAAGTTGTAAAAGAAGTTATTTAATTTGGTTTATGGTTTCAGAAAGTTAGAGTCCATGATGGAGGAGCAAAGTCATAGTAGCAAGAACAGCTGAAAGTTCACATCTTGATTTGTAAGGTGGAAATGGGAGTAGGGTTGGTAATGCTGTGGGCTTCTGAAACCTCAAGGTCTAATCCTAGTGACATACCTCCTAATCTTTTGCAAACAGTTACACTAACTGGTAACCAAATGTTTAAGCACAGGAGGCTTTGGGGACCACACATTCAAATCACCACAACAGTCTTGTAGGATACAATATTTTAGAGAAAATTTTATGGGATGCCAAAAAGAATATGTGCCAAACAGTTGTTGAAGTACTGTGAATATGTAATTTTGATTTTCTATCTCCCATCCATTTGGAATAACATCGCTCATCACATTATACCACTCTGTACATTTCTTCATCAGCAAAATGTGTTTCTTGTAAACAGCCATCAGTTGGATGATATTTCATCACACATTCATGCATGCTATCTTTTAAGTGATGGTTTAATACAATTTATATTTAAGATTACTATTTGAATACACATACTAACTCATGTAATTTTAGGGTTTTCCTGGTTGATCTGAATACTGACTCTGCAATTTCTCACTTGCTCATTTTAGTTTACTCAGTTATTGAGTTTAAAATATTTGATTCTTTCTCAACCCCATTTTTTATTATCTTCATAAGATTTGTTCTTTTGTAGAGTCTCATTATTTAAATTTATTCTTCCCTTTCATGGCATTCCATTTTTATGCTTCCTTATTTTAGAGGTCAGTTACATACATGATTGGTGACATGGATTTTACATTTGAGGGGTGAATGGCTTAAACATAGGTCAGAAACTTCAGTTATACCAACCCACTGGATCTGACTGGAAAACATGGAGATGTAACAAGATGTGACTGGTGACAATTTGAGAACATCTTCCCAATAGGGGAAGCACATGAGCAGAGGAGAAGTCTGTGAAATGAGGAGCAGGAATATTGTTTGTAGACTGACTGCAGGAACAATATATACAATTACAAAATAAGCTGTAGCTGATTTTGTTCTATTTTTGCTTCCTGGCATTGTTTCTTAGAGCTGAGGAGCCAACTGTGAAAGAACTGTGAGAGGTCACATTATACTGCCCTGTTAGTTTTGAGCTTGATTTTTTTGTATTTATCTAGCTCATTTTTCACTATTCTTGGTGGCTTATGTCCCATGTGATGCCCTGAACGAAGTTTGTGCTCTTAGGGGCAGTTATGGCTCAAAATAAATTGTGTGATCTTGGTGAATATAATAGAGTTCATTGGGAAATTTCTTGCAAAGACCTTGGTGACAAATATTTTTCTAAGTCATCATGGCTCTTTCTTCAAGCCTGAGCCTCTTCTAAGCCTCCTCAGGTAATTTAATCTTCAGTAAGCTGATGTCTTAGATGGAGGTTGTCCAAGAGCATCCTGCGATTAAAGAAAAAATACATTTCTTTAATGGATATTTGGGTTGGACAAGAATGAAGAAATCACAGGCTGATATAGAACTCATGATACAGTCCAGGCCATCTTTTAACTCAGAAACATTCCCACCATAGCCTCACCATATCTTGGATTACAGGAGTGAGTTAAAAATGCCTGGTGTATATTTTTTCTGCTGAAACCTAAATCTAATGGTTTCTCAACTTCACCTTCAAAATCATTCACTCTTTCTTCTACCTGATCTAATCTGCAAGATATGCTTCCCCTTGGATATTTCATTTGACCCACTGAGGTTGTCCTTCCAATGATTTTCATCCCTCTTTCCACAAGCTCTATCTCAGAGGTAAGTTTATTAACTAAAGCTTGTATAAATTTGTCCCTAACCCTGTCTACATCTCTGAAGTCTTTAAACATTTTAAAGTTTAGACTTCTGATTTCATTGTCTGGTTTTACATGAGTCTCAAACCTTTCGATTTATTGTTGAAGTGATATTAACCTTTGTCACAATCACATTCCTTGTTCGTTGACAATTTTTGTTTCTGGATCATAATCTGTGCCCTTTTGTGTTTGATAACATGTTTACAAGTGCCTTCCTAGTAGCAGCCTTAGCTCAAGATCTCAATCCAAAAAAACACTGAAAGTGAGAAAGAAGATGAACTCAACAAAAAAGCCAACCAAATGTTTACATTAGAAAGAAAATAAGAGCAATTGAAAGCAACATTTGCACCTCCAATGCTGATGGAGATATGGTAATATAGAATAACTGAGAAGTTCAAATTAATTAAGAAAATATGCAAAACAGTTGTGTGCCTAGTGGTAAAGAGAGAAACGTGAGGGTAAAGAACACAACACATGTACATAACACCACCACAACAAATACTAACAATAATCATTCATTGTTGATGAGCTTAAGAGTGGATGCTTTGAAGTCACAGGCTTCTGAAGCTCACTAGGTGTGAACAGTTCGGTTTTGATCCTTTTCCGTTCCCAATTCTATTCATACCAAGTGGGATCAACTGTATGAATTCTGACCCTCACCCGATATTCCCCACCACAGGGGATGGTGGGAAGGGCCAATACAGGGAACTCTGCTGGGATGTGTTCATGCCACAAAGCAGCAAGTACAGGAACATCTATCATTCCACTCCAATTGGCCCTTAAGGTGATAGGCAGAGAAATACCAGGGTGGATGTGCTTTCTTCTAATGTCTCTGTGGATCATGGAGGAAAGAGGAAACGTTCAAATGAATATGAGTGGGTGGGAGTGAAACAAAGCACTAAGCGACCCTGCTTGTCCCAGCCATGCTGGAATATGTCTGAAAATCTACTTGTATTCACTTACATCTACCACTGATCTTCCTAGAGGATGGGACTGTAGTTCCAAAGCAAAGTCATTTATATTTCCTTTTTCATCTTGGCCCTCAAATAGTTTCATATATACCTGCACCTTTTTATCTAAATAAAGTATCAGTTAGCTTTTAGGACCCACAGTGAATCCAGAATCAAATGCCTAACCTTGGGTCTAAAATTTTTCTTAGTAATATTTACAACTATGTATTGGACAGTCCTATGTTGCAAAATCCAGCTCTGTGGAATAAGTAATTATTCACAACTACAGGAGTTTTACAGTGAATAAATCATTATGAATTATATTTTCCTCATTCTCTATATGTTTTCTGGTACTCAACCTTTTTTAAAAACATTTATACAATGTTTATTTTAAATTTTCAACTCCTCTGAGATCATGACGTATTCATTTGTTACATTTTTTTTCTTTGTTTTTTTGGTTTTTTTGAGACATGTTTTCTCTGTGTAGCCTTGGATCCTGTCCTGGAACTAGCTCTTATAGATCATGCTGGTCTCTAACTCACAGAGATCCACCTGCCTCTGCCTCCCAAGTGCTGGGATTAAAGACATGGACCACCACCACCCAGCTTTGTTGCATTTCTTAACTAAATACCATATCCCCAGTAGATAGCCAGACAGTTTTTTCATAAAGGCAAACAACAGAAAAACACTTGTCCTGCAAGGTTTCTGTCCTTTACAGTTTCCAAAATTTGAAATGAAGACCCAGTTTTTCTAGCCTAATAACTCTGGCTGGGGTCACAGAGGTCTTAGTAAACAGCCACATTTGCTTCTTGACTCTCACTTTTTATTCAGTGTTTCCCATTGGAAGGCCTCCCTTCCAGTGACTAAGGGCAGCCATTGTTCATGATGGGGTACCAATACTCCTGCACCTAAGAAGAAACTTCAGCTTTAGGATGGAAATAAAGTTGCATTCAGAATCCTGTCTTTTCCTGAAAGCATTAGATGATGAGCATCTCTACTAGAGCTATCAGCTACCCCAATGTGGGTAGATGAATTGGTTTGCAGATAGCCTATCTTAATTTGGGTTACTGTTGCTGTGAAGAGACACCAAGACCACTGAAACTCTTATAAAGGAAAGCATTTAATTAGGAGGGCTTTTAGTTTTAGAGATTTAGTCCATTATCATGGTGGGATATGGAGGCGTGCAGGCAGACATGGTGTTAGAGAAGTAGCTGAGTGTTCTGCATCTTGATCCACAGGCAACAGGGGTAAACTGTGTTCTACATTGTGCATCTCTTGAGCATAGAAGTGCTCAGAGCCCACCCCCACAGTGACATATATACCCCAACAATGTAGCACCTACTCCAACAAAGCCACACATCCTAATAGTGTCATTCCTGTGGGGATCATTTTCTTTCAAACAACCACATTACACTCCCTGGCTCCCATAGGCTTGTAGCAATATCATAATGTAAAACTGCATTCATTCCAACTTTGTAAGTGCCCATAGTCTATCACAGTCTCAAACTTATTTAAAAGTCTAAAGTTCAAAGTCATTTCTGAGATTAATGAAATCTCTTAACTATAACCCCCTGTAAAAATCAAAATAAAAAATCAGATCACATACTTCTAACATATACACATTACATAGCACAGATACACATTACCATTCCAAAATGAGTAAAAAGAGATAACAAGAAAATACTGGACCATGGCAAGACCAATACCCAGCTGGATAAACTCTAAATGCTGCATCTCCATATCTGACGTCAAAATGCTCTTCAGATCTCCAGCTTCTTACAGATTTTTGACTGCAACACACTTCTCTCTCTCCCTCTCTCTCTCTCTTTCTCTCTCTCTCTCTTTCTCTCTTTCTTTCTTGGGCTTGTTTCACTCCCTGTCAGCAGCTCTTCTTTGCAGGTAACCCACAGCTCTGACATTCCCAACATATTGAGCTTTCCAAGGCAATCCAGGTTTCAACTTCACAGTTTCATGCAATGGTCTCTCTAAGCCTCCATTCAGGAACTAGCCTGACTTGTTCCTGTACTCAGTGGATTTTCTTAGTCACAAAGGAACATTCATAACCCATTTCTTCTCTATTTGACTCTAAAACCAGAATCATTTGGCCAAATCTGCAAGGTTCATCTTTTTTCTAGGACTGGAACATTCCCCCCTCACTCAATCACATCTTCACTAGCTTTATCTTTTCCATAGTTTCATTCATTGGATAAGTTTATATATCCTGAAACTTTCTCTGTAGACCAGACTACTCTCAAAGTTTCTGCCTGCCTCTGCTTCTGGAGTACTGAGATTAAAGGGATGTACTACTATACCTGTCTCTAAGCTTTTCTTTAATTCCTTTCTACAAGTAGAAACCTTATCTGGGTGGGATCTTGCCCTGATGTCACCATTCTCTTTATTCCATTTCTTAATCTGTTTAACTCCTTGAACTGAGCTCCATTCTACTTCCTGGTGCTCCTTTTCAACTTAAATTGCACATTTTGTGTTTTTCCTTGTTTGGTTTGCCCCTTTTTGTTATTAATCTATTAGAGTTAACACTAATAACCACATGACAGAATCTGTACTAGGCTGTTTTGAGATTTTGTCTGCCAGTAGAATTAATCCAAATCTCTTCACATTAACCTCAGGAAGATTCTTTGGACAAGAGCAAAAAGCAGCCACATTCTTCATCAAAATATCATAAGAATGATCTCTAGGCAAGATAGAAACTTCTTGAGTTAGTTCCCACCTTCAGCACCACTGTCTTCTATCATCTTACTAGTATGGTCCATTGAGCAATGCTTGAAGCTTTACAAACTCCAGATGCCTCCAAATGAAAGTGTGGCAAGGCATCAAAACAATACCAAGTGTGTGGTATGAATTTATGTCTTAGTTTGGATTTCTGTAGCTGTGAAGAGATACCATGATCATGCTACTCTTATAAAGGATAGCATTTAATTGTGTCTGACTTAGAGTTTCAGAGGTTTACTCCATCATCATTATGGTGGGACATGGTAGCATTCAGGCAGACATGATGCTGGAGAAGGAGCTGAAATTTCTTGATCCACAGGCAATAGCAAGTGAGCTGTGTCTGATATTGAGCATAGCTTGAGTATGGAAGACCTCAGAGCCCATCCCCACAGTGACATATTTTCTCCAAAAAGGCCACATCTACTCCAAAAAAACTACACACCCTAATAGTGACACTCCCTGTGGGAGCCATTTTCTTTCAAATCACTACATAGCTGAAGTCAGTAAAAACTTCGAGAAATTTTAAAGATTGACAAATGACTTAATTTATGTAAACTGTTTCCTCCTCCTTATGAGCCAGAGTCAGTTATCCCACAGATTTGGGCAGGGAGGGGGGAGTCAGAGAATATACAATATGTGTTCATGTCTTGTTTTTCATTTCAGGAACACTAGTGAAGAATTCCTAAGATTGCAGCTAAACACCCCAGCCTGGAGGACTAACAGCACAGCAATGAATGAAAGTGATTACAATCAACATTTATATTGTTCTACAAAGTTCTATACCATGAATATTCTTGCAGTCATCATTGCCCTGATTGGTATGGCAGGAAATGTCATAGTGCTGTGGCTTCTGGGCTTCCACATGAAAAGAAATGCCTTCTCGGTCTACATCTTCAACCTGGCTGGGGCTGACTTCCTCTTCCTCTTCTTTCAGACTCTATATTGCCTGAAGGAAATACTTCATTATGTCCATACATTACTTTCTTACTTGTCCACCTATTTGGTTTTGGTGTTAAATTTTGCTTATTTTGCAAGTCTGAGCATGCTCAGTGCCATTAGCACTGAGCGCTGCCTGTCTGCCCTGTGGCCCATATGGTACCGCTGTCAAAGACCAAGGCATACATCAGCTGTCATGTGTGCCCTGCTCTGGGCCTTGTCCCTGATATTGAGCTTCATGGAAGGGAGTGCATGTGGCTCCTTCTTTAATGGTTTTATGGCTGGTTGGTGTAAAAGACTAGGTTTCATCACTCTTGCTTGGCTAATTGTTTTATTTGTGGTTCTGTCAGGATCCAGCCTGGCCCTGATTCTCAGAGTCTTCTGTGGCTCACAGAGGATTCCTGTGACCAGGTTGTATGTGACCATTGCCTTCACAATGCTGGTTTTCCTGCTCTTTGGCTTGCCTTACGGGATCAACTGGTTTTTCTTATTTTGGTTTGGGGGTGATTATCCATCTTTCCTTTGCTATGTTTATCAAATGTCAATATTGCTATCCTGTGTCAACAGCTGTGCCAACCCCATCATTTACTTTTTTGTTGGCTCAATTAGGCATCACCAATTCCAGAGGCAGACTCTGAAGATTCTTCTGCAGAGTGCCATGCAGGACACTCCTGAGGATGAAGGTGGAGAGGGGAAGTCTACTAGACAGGAAACAGTCTACTGCTACAGCTGACAACTTTGTCCTTGTCCATGTAGGCAATTTTGACAATCTTTTCAATTGGACATCTGACCTTAAATCTGTTGCAAAAATAATTATTCTTGTGAAAATTGAGTGAGACAAGGCTTGCCAATCAGGTACTGCTTGCAGTATCCCTAAACCTTCTACTTAGGGACAGAAAAGCTCCCACTCTGGTGATATCCTTCCCTTAGAGGAAGTCTTAAGGCTATGACGGGAAGGTCAGAATTTCTTTGGTCATTAAACTTGACAGTGATTAAAAGATTGTTATATTTTTCCCAAATGTTCTCTTTATTTTTGAAAGGACTTTTGTCTCAATGTTAAAATAATTGCATAAAATTTCCCCACAATCCTACAGAACTAAATAGACAATTCTCAGAGGAGGAATCTAAAATTACTGAAAGACACATAAGAAAGTGTTCAAATTCCTTAGCCATCAGGGAAATGCAAATCAAAACAACTCTGAGATATCATTTTACTCCTGTCAGAATGGCCAAAATCAAAAACACCAATGACAGTTTATGCTGGAGAGGATGTGGAGAAAGGGAAACACTCCTCCACTGCTGGTGGGAGTGCCAACTTGTACAGCCACTTTGGAAATCAGTATGGCAACTCCTCAAAAATTGGGAATCTGTCTACCACGAGATCCAGCAATTCTACTCTTAGGCATATACCCAAAAGAAGGACATTCATACAACAAGGACATCTGTTCAATGATGTTCATAGCAGCACTATTTGTAATAGCCAGAAACTGGAAGCAGCCTAGATGCCCCTCAACTGAAGAATGGATAGAAAAATGTGGTACATTTACACAATGGAGTAGTATTCAGCGGGAAAAAATGGAATCTTGAAATTTGCAGGAAAATGGATGGAACTAGAAGAAACCATTCTTAGTGAGGTAACACAATCACAAAAAGACAAACATGATGTGTACTCACTCATATGCAGATGTTAGACATAGAGTAAAGGTTTCCAGTCTACAATCCATACTTCCAGAGTTGCTAGTAAACAAGGAAGACGCTAAGAGAGACATGCATGGTCCCCTGGAGAAGGGGAAAGGGTCAAGATCCCCTGAGCAAATTGAGAGCAGGGGAAAAGGGGGGAGGGAGCTACAAGAATGAGAAGGGAAGAAGAGGAAGGATGCAGAGGTCATAAGGGAGCAGAAAGTTTGAGTCAGGGGAATAGAAGAAAGGGTATGTGATAGGTAAGGTTTTAGTTGGGGGGTGGTAGGGGAGGATGGGAGGGAGAAGGGACCTGGGATTGTCATGTAAAACAATCTTGTTTTTAATTCAAATAAAAAATGATTAAAAAATTCCCCACAATCCTAGTTTCCTTTCATTTCTGAAGGTTTAGGATATGTGTATAACCTCATAAGTATCTCTTATATAAATTGCTTAATAAACAAATGTGTAATCTTAAGATGGCCTGTTAAATTTCCATTAACCAGATTGTAATCATCACCTTCAGGCTAATTGTTTGTACCATTTAGGGCACTGGAAGAATGATATTAAGTTTTATAACCAGATACATCAATATCCATGTATGCTTGAAGTTTAATGCAGTGTCCTCCTATGGTTCCCTTTCACTGTGCCTTGCTTATCATTCCAAGGGCATGGCTCCCACTTCTCTATGTATATTCATTTTGACCATCCCTGTCTGGGAACCATATTTCATGACAAATATTTAATCAAAATGAGTACTATGTAGACCCAAGGCCAAGTTATGACACCAGTTGGAGATGTAATCCAGACTCTTGGATCATAGTGTATCAGCTTCTGGATGTGACCCCTCAAGAAACTCTTCTCTATTGTCCTAGTGCAGAGCTCAGGGTCTATGTAATGGCATTAATCTCTCTATCAGTTTCTGCTTCTTCAAGGTCTATATTCTCCTTGCCAAAATTCTAAGTTTGCCCATACACATTTCCTCCATCAAAAAAGCAGTCTGTGATATTTAAATTCAACTTCAACAAAGTTCTCAGAATAATGGTATAATGATACCAATATTCTCAAACAGAATATCACAGGCATGGTCCCTAGCCCAGATCCTGGCAGAGTCCTTGCTCCACTCTGAAACCCCATAAGCTGAGACTTAGCTACTTACACCTTTCTCAGAATTCATTTCCTCCATGCTCTTCCAGATTCCTTTTGGTTCCTGTGATACAATACACTGGCCAAAAGAATATTAGAGGATTAAAGAATTATATGGCATACTCTTCCAGGTCAGGGTTCATCTTAAATGAAGTCAGGGAGGTATTAGAAGGCAGAATTTGGCCAAGTTTCTGTTTTCTCATGATCCCCATGGTTCTAACAGTGCCCTCAAACAGCAGGAAGCAGTTTGGAGGGAACGGCACCCACATTCCCAAATATTGTTTATAAATGTTATTTTCATTTAAATGGGGTTGGTTATAAATGGTTAATGATCACAACCAACCTTTTTTTAAAGGAAAAAGGAGGATTATGACATAGAAATGAATACTTTGTATTGAAATGGATACAAATTTAAGGTCAACTTTGTGATATGTATTATTCTCCTCTTGTTTATGTATTGTGCTTACATAGCTTATGTAAAAATGTAATGTATAGCTTCTCTGGCAGTGTGGATTGTAGGCTGGTAATCCTTTACTCTATGTCTAAAATCCGCAAATGAGTGAGTACGCACCGTGTTTGTCTTTTTGTGATAGGGTTACCTCACTCAGAATGGTTTCTTCTAGTTCCATCCATTTTCCTGTGAATTTCAAGATTCCATTGTGTCCATGTGTTAATTTTGGGGTCTCAAAGGTGGCTACGGGACCAGGCTGGCTGGAAGACTATCTGTAACAAGAATCTGCTGAGGAACACTGGTTATTGATTTGCTTGCTCACTCACTTATACAACCCAAAGCCACTTGTACAAGTTATGGCAAGGCTCACAGTATGCTAATTCCTACACATAAATGAACAAATATTATAATACCTCACGTACATGCCCATAGACTAACTGAATATAAAATACTTATTCAAATGAGCCGTCTGTTCCCAATAGATCCTATGCTGTGATTGTTAGTAATGACAGTTTGCTAACTAGAATAGTTCACCACTTGTCAATTTCTTTGTCCCTGAGATCTTATTTTAATACCATAACATAAAACAGATTTTTTACACGGTCTTTAAAAATTTAAACACATTAAAAGCCTCATTAAAAATTACTAACAGTCACTAGGCAGTGGTGTCGCATGCCTTTAGTCCCAACACTCAGGAGGCAGAGGCAGGCAAATCTCTGTGAGTTCAAAGCCAGCCTGGTCTACAGAGATAGTTCCAGGACAGCTTCCAAAGCCACAGAGAAACCCTATCTTGAAAAAAACTAAAAAAAAAATTACTAAAAGTCCCCTAAAAACCCCAATGTCTTCAGGCTAAAAGAGGTGGCTCAGAGGTTAAGATCACTGGCTGTTCTTCCAGAGGTACTGAATTCAATTCCCAGCAACTATGTTGTGGCTCAAAACCATCTATAATGAGATCTAGTGCCCTCTTCTGGCATCCAGGCATACATGCAGAGAGAACACTGTGCGTGATAGATAGATAGATAGATAGATAGATAGATAGATAGATAGATAGATAGATAGTCTGTGGGTTTCTCTAAAATTGAAATCAAATTATGCTTCTTACTCCAAAATGAAAGAACATAGTAGCAGCAGAAAATCAACCCAAATATCCAGCAGTATAAATCCAAATCCTATTGTTCACTATCCACTATCTGGGGCTTTCTTACTGTGTAATCTATATCCGAAAGGCTTAAGCAGTCTCTCTTCTCCAGCTCTGCCATACAGAAAAACATGACTTGTCTCCTAGGCTTTTGCTAGCTGCACTCCACATTTTCCACTGTCCTTGGCAAACATGGAATCTGGCATCTCCAATTTCCTAGGTCTTCACTACAATCAATGATGCACCTTTACTAATGGCCACAACTGAACTGTCCAAAGAGATGCCCACCTACTGCAAAGGACAAGTTCTTATCAGTGACCCATTCAATGGTACATCTTCCATTACTTTAAAACTAGTATCACCTGGGAGACTCTTAATCGTGTCAAGTTCGGCTGCCAGATTAAAATACAGCCTTCTTGGACTATAGTTTCTGTGGTCTGACCCTAAGGACAATACATTCCTATTATCTCAATATTGCTGAACTCTTTTTAATCACAGCTGATTCTTTAGCCCCAGGTGACCACCCATTTCATCATCCAAGAGAAAAACAGGTTCACCTCAATGATGCAGATCTGTTTTTTGGTTTGGGTTTAGGTTTTTGGAGACAGGGTTTCTCTGTGCAGCCCTGGCTGTCGTGGAAATTGCTCTGTAAACCAGGCTGGCTGGAAACTCAGAGATCTGCCTACTTCTGCCTCCCCAGTGCTGGGATTAAAGGTGTATGTCAGCACCTCCTGGCCTGCAGCTCTGGTTTTAATTATAGCTGATTCTGAAGTCCCAGCTGACAACAGCCACAGACTCTTAACACAACATTTCATACAAATAGCCTCTGGCCCAATTCTTAATTCAGTCAGTACTCACTTCTGAAACCGCACAAAACAAACCCCCATACTTCATTTTCCAAGTTCCTAAAATAACTTATTATGTTTTGAGCATTCAGCAGAACTTCCAGCCTAAAGTCCTAAAACCCTATACAATCCCCCAACAAAGTGATCCAAAGGCATGGAAAGCCACATGGCTATATGTATCCTGGAAACAACCCACACCCTGTACCAATTTCTGTTTTAATTTCCTTCCTGTTGCTGTGATAAGGCATTCTGAAAGAAAGCATCTTAAGGAGAAATGAAGATTTATTTGCTCTCTCTTCCTCTCCCAGTTCATCAGTGAGGGAAGTGAGGGGGAATTCAAGCAGGAATGTGAAGCAGAAACCATGGAGGAATGCTGACTGCTGCCTCTCTCTTGTTTGCCGATGCTTGGCCAGATTTCTTATAGTGCCTGAGACCATCTGTCTGGGGCTTCTGCCTCCCTGGTGAGCTGAGATAAT